TAGTCGACCCCCCTATAACATGGGTTCATATAATACGGATTCATATATTGCGGTGAAAAAATTGCAATCATATTCGCATAAAGACGCTAAAAGAGACTCATAAAATGCAGTAAAATGTCATCGCCAACTCGTGTCACCACAGGATTGGTCGAATCTGGACCAATAGTGGACGAGCAGCCAAACTACTTACAAGCTATGGAGAGTTTAAATGAGTAAGTTGAGTTTACTATCGTCTGTACAGTATATAAATTAGGTACTGTAAGTCTAATTCAGTACTGTAATTTTATACATTTCTTATTCAACAGCCATAAAAATTATTTTTATTAATGATGTCTCCAAAGTTCAATGAATTTTTCGCAGAAAAATAACTTATCAGAAAATTGCCCGCCGTTTGGTGTACTGCTCCGCAACAAAAACAAGTTTAAGCAATGGCGTCGTTGAACGATGCACACTCAGTAAGTAATCCTACAATTTTTTGTTTATAGCATAGTTTATACGGATTATTCCCAAAAAAATATACATATTTTGGAAATGTTGAGTCAAATTAGTCTGGAATCGATTAATTTTATGGAAGAAAACCTTTCAAACAGACATAGTTCGTAAACTGCACACGTGCTGGGCTGTGATTGGCTCATGTATTTAAGGATTCCTACAACACGAAATTCTTATAAAGTGGAACATATCTACCGCGTTATAGGGAGGTCGACTGTATAAATATATTGGCAACAATCGTCTACATAATTTTTAAAAGGCATTTTCCTACATTTATTTGAGAGCTAATAACATACACTGAACCAATATATGGTATGAAATAAAAATAAACAAAAAAAACAAACATTTTATAAACATTTTCATGATTAAACAAACTCCTTCCAAGTTCTTCAGGTTTTCAATGAAATTAAAAGGAACATTGAAAATCTGTTTTGGAACATAACATTCGATATTCTATCCTCAAATGGTTAAAGACAGTGGAGATGATTTTGTTTATGGCCTGGCAGGCTCTGCTTGACAGCACAGTTTAACCTTGGTTAAAGCACAGGTAAACACAGGAATACATATGCATGACATATATTTTTAAAAATGTTTGTACATACTATTTGAATCTATGTTTTGTTCCAAAAAAGATTTTCAACAGTAATTAGAAGGAACTTCAAAAATCTGAAGAACTCGGAAGGAGTTAGAAAATATTTGTTTTTTGTTATTTATTTTTATTTTGCACTGGTTATTGGTTCAGTGCATGTTATTACCATACCATACTGGGTAAAGTTAATAAACTTTACCCGGTATGGTATGTAGTTATTTATTATTTGAGAGCAAAAAACAGTGTAAAATTTTAAAATATTTTTAAAAGAAATTTTTTATATTTTCAAAGTTATATCAACCCCATTGGAAAATCCTGCTTTACTGTGATATTATTAGTTCCTTTCAGTTACCTAACTGAATTATTTTAATGAAAAACATTGATATCTAAAGTTTAGAATACAATCAGAGGTGATGGTAGGCTGGTCAACTGGTGCCAGTGCTGTCCCATAAAATTTTCTACAATGTATGAACAGGTTCCATCCACCCATGAATACAACAATATAGTAAATAAATATTTGTTTTATTAAAATATGAATAAAAATATATCTTAATTAATAGAGAAAATTTTACATATAAATTATTCATCTTATATAGTTTAGTTATAAAAATTAAAATTAATAAGAATACTTTTCTTATTATTTGTTAAGAGAAAAACAATATAAGGCATATTTTTAATTGAAGGTATCTTCAATTAAAAATATGCCTTATATTGTTTTTCTATCTATATTAGAAAATCTTTTATTTGTATGATTTTGATATTTATTTCTAGTTTATATATAATAAAAGATGGTCTGCAAAATAAGTTAAACATAATACAGTTGAACCTGTCTTAGATATATCTTGAAAATCTATTTATCTCAAAATTTACTTCTTCCCCTGCAATTTCAGTCTCAATTCAATATATTTTTCATGTTTATCTCAAATAATTTTCTCCCAAAATCTCGAGATGTCAAATTATGGATTGAAGTGTCAATTATAAAGTCAAAGCTCAGTGACTACATTTTGACAGCATAAATTGTAGTTGAGAAACATCTTTTGATATACAATATATACTGTAGTTGCAATTAATGCTGCTTTTTTCTGTTTGATTGATTTGCATCTTATTGGTTGAAGAAAGTCAGGCATTAGAAACTATTGACAAACTATTTCTGTTAAGGTATGTTTTATTTATACCTAATATAGGTATATCCTGTTCTTGCTATCATATTAAGTTAATAAAATACTATACCTCGGTTTTTGAGATTGATAAGTACACTGCCAGAAAAAAATCCAATCCCTTTAACTGCATCATTTTATTTTCTCTAAATAATTTTCTTTCATTCAAATCTTTCAGGTCAGTCATTTGAAGTTAATATAGTTTAATTTTATAAATACTGTGGAACCTGATTAACTTGAAGGATACATACAGTGGAATAAATACAGTGGAACCTGATTAACTGAATTAACTTAAAGGGATTGGATTTTTTCACTTGGAAAAAATTCAGACTTTAAACTTGAAGGTTTCAAGGAATTCAAGTTAATCAGTTTGATTAAACATTATGCTAGATGATTGGGGAAAGAAAATGACTTGAAATAAATTGACTTAAAGTTATCTAGGTTCCATTGTATTATGTTATATAGTATTACAATCAATAAACAACATCAATAATTGAATTTATTAGCAATTTAAATAGAAATGATTATTTTAACATTAGTACAATCAAACCTCGGGTTATGAATACCCATTTACAAACAAAATTTTGAATGTCATATTGCCCTGATTGTCGTACAATAACTTGGTTGCAAGACAAGCTACTAAGTAAGAGTCATCCACAGCCAGTCAACTCTATACTTCTTGTATTAAAGAAAGTCAATGGCCTGACTAATCAATGACAGACTACCAATTCATATGTTAGTGGTTCTGAGATTGCCTTGTGTCATTAGACATTACAATATGAATCATCAATGACTTTGTGATTTAAATTAGATTTCAATGCACATGTGGGAAAGATACTATTTCTGTTTTTCAGTACACGCCACAATTGAATTTGAATCAAATTAATTAACAAACACCATGTTAACGGACATTCACATAATATGAATGGCACTCAGTATTCATGTTTAAATATGGTTAAGTTAAATTAAATAACAAAAAGTTATTAATATAATATCATGTATGTGATATAAAATTAATATTTATTAATACTAGGTAGCTAGTTAATTAAAATCATAAACAATAATTAAAACTCTGTCCTTTACACTAAAACTAAAAATCAAATCAATTGAAACATAATATTTCCAAAAGTGTGGGTAAAGCACTTGTCTGTTTTGATTGATTTGGTTATATTTCATTTTCATCCAAGCAAAATTGAGTCTCTGTTTATAGTACTTCTTTGTAAAGTGTTAATTTCAGTTTTGGTTTTTGTTGACAGTGATGAAACATTTTGCTTTTAATTAATATAATATATACATTATATATATATATAGATTTAGATAATATATTATATTGCATGTGTAGGCATTTTTATTCATGAAACACAGCTAAAAAAGTAAGCCTTATTGTATATCAGGAACAGATTAATCCATTTTATATTGCTTCTTATAGAAAAATTTGTTTTTGTTTGAAAACAACTTTTAGGAACAAATTAAGTTCATAAACTGAGGTTTGACTGTATCTTCTATAAATGTGAACTTTAAAATGGCATCCAGTTACTAGAGTCAATCCAAACTAATTTAATATTTATGTTTCATTACTTTTTACAATACAATAGATCTTGAGGATTTTAAGAAGCCATTACATAATATAATTTACAAGCTAAAGACAATACTCATTATATCATAACTAATTACTGTTAATTTAACCATTTATCACTCAATTAAGCATATTTTTGTTTTAAATTAATTAACAGAATCATCAATTTAAGTTCATAAATAACATTTAAATCCTGTTTAAAAAATTTTACTTATTTTGTATTTTGTGTGTGTGTGTGTGTGTGACATTGAAATAATTATAAATTTTTTAATGTTAATAATTTTTAATGATAATGATGTAAACAGCTATAAAATGTTACACATCAATAATTTATTTTGGCAGTTAGCCAACATTATTTACATAATTACAACTTTAACAAATATTTTATTGCCACTCTGCTAATGTTATTGAATGAGTCAAAATAATACATGTATGTGTATAGTTTCTGTATAAACATGCTATCTATATAAAAGCAATGCTGAAGGAGCTTGATAAATAATCAGATTATTAATACAGTTTCCATATATTTTCTATTCTATATACAAATAAAACTTTAAATTTTTGTGCAAGTTTTGTTATTTGTTCAAATTAAATTCTCAAAGTAGTAATTTTCTGCCTTAAATTTATCTGTTATAAAACTAAATAGTCAATAAAAATCATACAATAAGATAAACAATTTATATCTTAAATCTTTTTAAGTAAAAAATAAAAAGATGATGATAATATAACCGTAATAAACACTTTCTGTATTCTGTTAGTATTATATTGTATTTTGACTGTATCGTTATAAATATATGTTTATAAATTAAATCATTTCTAATAAATGTAGATCAATAATAACATATCTGTCTGTTAGATTAATAAAATTAAATTAAATGTTGCTTTGTTAACTATTAATATATTTTACATCAATGCTTCCAGATCACTGATTTATAAACACTGTCTAAAATACATAAACATATAATTTTATTAGAAATATTATGCAATTCTACAAAAAACATATATATTAGTTCAGAAAATCAACTGTTATCAATTTATTTTATTTACTGTTTGAAAATGAAAAGTTTTAAGTATAAAATTTCTTCAAATTGATTTAATTAAAATTTAAAAAAATCTGTTTAAATTCTAGAATTTATGTAATGGGACTAAATTTAAAACATGATTTAAAGGTCTTATTTTAATTTACCTAATCTGTTCATCCTGAGATTCATCACGGAAGCCCTTTTGCTGATCTTCACTATCTGTCAAAATACCTTCTGAAACCCATTTTTGGTGTAATGCTGCTTCTTCTCCACTATCTGTTTCATCTATAATTTAAATATAAAGATTATAACATATTGTTATGATAAATGTGTCTAAAACAATCAAAAATAAATTACATTTATAAATAGAATAAAGATAAATGAATATAAAATCTTACAGCAAATCTATTAAATAATTCTAATACTAAATCAGTTTAATGAAATTACATATGTCTCAATATATAATTTTATTAAATTATATATTGAGACATATGTAATTTAATACTTATAAAATTATAGGTATTAAATTAAAATAATAATAATTACACATTTATCCAAATTAATTTTTCTTATTCAAAATTAGATATATATTATATATTAATATGTAAATAATATGCGTGTTTTTAAAACATATTTCATAAATTTTTACTGAAGAGACAGTTTATGCATTTACTGTATATGTAATTTATTTGAATAGATGCCCAATTCATTCATATAATTATTTTTAGTTTTTATATCCCAAATACCTCTTATACATGATTGTAACAATTTTAATTTCATCTATGTAGCTAATATCATCTCAGAGAATATTTTTTGAAAAATGAAAATATGATGAAATATTTAAACAGCAGCAACAACATAGACACAGCTATTTTTCATAATGTTTCACAAGCAATTGAATAAATTACCATGATTCAGAAAAATAGTGATGAATAGCTTTCTGTAATTATTGCAATTAATTATAAATATATTTAATTTGAATATCTGTGAAATGTAAATATATAAAATTTACATTTAATATAAAAGTATTATCTTTCATATTCAAATGGAATGAAATAATACAGTTGTAATTGATATTGGTTTTTACAAATTTGCAAGGATAGAATTTTTAAAAATTTATTTAAATAGATAACAGATAAACAGAATAGCATAAGGAAATAAACATTGAAAATGTATCTCTCACTAAATTATTAAGTCATTATTCCATTCAGATCTAAATGCAAATAATCTGTTTTAAACTAATTTTGAATACTAATTCATCAAACTAGTTTAAATAGGAAATGCTCATTCATATATTAAGCATAATTTGTAAATTTGTGTGTGATATTTTGTACATTTGTTTAATAAATCAAATTATTTTTATTTTAAAATCTTCAAATTTTAAAAATAATTTTTAATGTTAGATTTTATTGGATAAGTAATACTATATTCTCCAATGGAATAAATGCATTTTATTCTGCAGAAATATATATAACATTGAAAGTTAAAGAAAAGTACTGATTAGAAATATTACCGTATTAGCCCGAATATAACGCGATATTTTTCGACCATTTATTTTTCGTTAAAAAATCGACTCGCGCTAAATTCGGGGTTTAAGTAATGGAATGTAATATAAACAAGGACATTTTCCTACAGAGGTTGCCTGTGTTATTAGCTACAGTACAGCGTCATTTATCCGAAAGCTGGTTAACCGAAACATCTGTTATCCGAAAGCATTCCAGTCGGCAAATTTAAATTTTCGCTAGTGCTGTGGCGCTGCAATCTTCGGCTATTTCTTGGGTTACTCAAATATTTTACGTTTTTGATACTAAATTAACATCTGAAGTATAATTTTTTATTGTTTTTATATTTTTCAATATATTTATTTTGTTTGTACAAAATAAAAAAATAATTTTTAACGATACAATAGTCTTCGTTAGGCGTAACATCGAGGAAAATTCAACGCGAAGCGACACGCAACGGAGAAAAATTTCAACATGGGATAAATTAATATATTTTTTCGTACATGATTCGTTATCCGAAAAATAAGTTATCCGAACCACCCCAGTCCCCAATTGATTCGGATAAACGACGCTCTATTGTAATTACATAAATAAATGCTTATCTGATTGAATTTTACTTTCTTTGAATTCTTTTATAAGTATTATTTTTTTTCTAAATATCTTTATGAAAATTTTGGAGTCGCGTTATATTCGGGCTAATACGGTAATTATTTTAGAAAGGAAAAAGAAAGCAATGAATTTTCATTATAAGATAGTGAAATAATAACTGTGGAGAGTAAATGATAAATTGTTTCATTAATATAAATTTCAGAATATAAATTAGTTTAATATAGACTATTTCTTCATTCTTTCTTTCATGGTTTTATTTATTACTACTGTATATTTACATTATATTTAAATCAAAAGATAAAATGTCTAATTTACATATAAGTAAACATTTCAAAGAAACTATTCATAAAAAAATCCCTGATTTTCTAATTTACATATAAGTAAACATTTCAAAGAAACTATTCATAAAAAAATCCCTGATTTTCTATTTATTATTTATAAAAATATTATTTAATTAATTAATGTTATAAATTATTTTAGTAGTTTATTCACATATATGTTGTGAAATAATTTAAAAGATAAGTTTTACTGTTTGTTATAGTCAATAATCATTTATTTATAAAAATCAGGTTTTAACTAAAGTTATTAGTCACTGTACCTAATGTATATAACTCAAATTCACTTATTGAACCAGTTTATTGTGAAACTAAGCTTAGTAATTTTTCTACACTCATGAAAATTATATAAATTAATATTCAATAAGTAAATTATGTATTTCGAGAAAAAAGAAAAAAAAAAAAACACATTTCTATGGACAATATAAAAAAATTAATAGTAATATGAAATATATTGAACTATAGTATATAAACTAAAATTCATTCTTTGGATAGTTATAAAGATTCAAGCAGAAACTTGAAATTTATTTCTTCAAATTGTTCAAATCAGTTATTCTATCAGATTATTCACTCTATTATTCTTTGTAGAGAAGGAAAAATGTATTTGATCCTGATGCAAGAGAACAAAATCTGCATTTCTAGAATAATGAAAATGTGATAATATAATTACTTATTAATTAACTTCACCAAAAACATTTTTGTTGCTCAGATAAGTTATTATTTTTCAAGTAATTTCTATTTTAGAGCTATTAACTAGCTTTATAGAGCTTAAAGATTTGATTATAATACAATACATAATAGCAGAATTTTAGACAGACGTATTAATGACATAACTAATATATATTTAGATATTATTTAAAGTTTAAAAACTGAAATTTAATGGTTTATATATTTTTAATTTGAACCAGCAGTTACATTCTATTTGTTCTGTATAGTTTTCGAGCATATAGTAACATGAAAAATTTACTGAAAGTAGTCTGACAATATACTTAGTTTTCTTCAGCTAGCATACTTAATAACAAAATTTTCTCTGTTTATTCAATGGTTTTGACTTTTTTTCTGAATTACATTTCAGTCTTGTTTTTCTTTATTATATGCAGGTTTATTTAGATTAAACTGATTTGTGCTTTATTTAAAAGATAAAGTTGTATCTTCTATACAAAATTCTTTTAGAATAGTCTTTTTTTTTGGATACAATGGGCTAAATAGTTAGACTAGATTATATTTCAAATATTTAAGCCAAATTTTTACTCTAAAACATTTATATTATAAATTATCAATAGGAAATTCCATACATTTATTAAGATACTTTATTTTCAGAGAAAATTGCCATTTTAAAGTAAGTTTTAAAATTAAAAATCAATATTTTTCTATATGGTAATCTTAATGTTATAAAAAATAAAACACTTAATGAAATCAATATGCAATGTATAAATAATTAAAAGAATTAAGATCCAAAACCTGTCAATTGATGATAATGATGAACAACATATTGTATGAAAGAAGCCATTCAAACTTGTATTTAGTAGGACAATCTGAATTGGTTAAATTGAGTGAATAAGACTTGAATATGCAATTTTTGATGTAAATTAGAGTAAACAATAAAGAGGGTAATGATAATGCTTGAATATGTAAAACATTCTTGCTAGATTTCTCTCTCAATTTAAAATTTAGACTCACTTTATTAAGCAGAATTAAATTATGATATAAAAATAATAGAAAATGTCATTGAAAATGCATAAGATGCCATTCTCTGTACAAAAGCTAAATATTCAACTAAACAAGACTCTAATTAAATATTAATCAGAATCCAGAAAGCAAAAGTTTCAGAAATGATAACAAAAGTAAAGTTATTAAATGAATTAGTGAATCATTATTAAACAGTTACTACAGGATTTGAACAAATTTCAACATGGGATAGGTTAATATATTTTTTCACACATAATCGGTTATTCGAACAACCCCATCCCTAATTGATTCGGATAATCAATGCTCTACTGTATATTCATCTCAATTTCTTTACAAATGATTTTTTTGTTTATGCAGTCCAAATACTTTAATTGATATTTTCTATGTTGTAATTGTATTACAGAAACTTTTCTATAAAATTAAAATTTCTTCTGTTTTGAATAAATTATAATTACTTTTATAAAGTATAATAAATTATATTTAAATATTTCCTTACCACATTGAGTATTACGGCGTGTTCTTGCTGAAGAGTACTGGGAAGCACTCCTGTCATCTTGTCCCAAATCACTCATACTGTAGCTTTTGCGCAAATGACTGACCAGAGTTGCTTGACCCTAAAAATATCATTTTTATAATAAATTTCCTAAAAATTGTAATTAGAATTATTCATAAGAATTTTTTCCAACTAATTAGGAAGTATTTGTTTCACAAAGCTTCAATAAGTGTTTTTTTAATGAAATCTATTAAATATGATAAGTCAATAACAAGTGATTTTTTTAATTTTCATTTTAACCTAATTTTACATTGGAATGAATGTAATGAAAATATATTTTGGATTCTATCAATAGTATATCTACAAATACGTTTCCATTCTTATACAAAATTGTATAAGGAAAGTTAAGTACCAATTCCAAAAAATTTCAGTCTTCTGGCTCTTCTGGAATTGTTACTTAATTAAGAAACCTTGATCAAAAATAGACTGCCAAAGCAAATGTATTAAAAGAAGAATACATATGAAATTACATTATTTTTTTTATTAGCTATTAAATTAATATAATTAACATTAACTGAATACCAAATGAAACATTACAAATGAGTATATTTCATAATAGACACATATATATATATATATATACACACACACACATATAGTATTTTATAATTCTATAGAGAGAGAATGTGTATATATATATATATATATATTCTCTAAAGAAACATAGAATTATAAAATACTGAAATAATATAATGCACATCTTTAAGATTTAAGAGACAGGAAACATATTAGGTAATCATAATTAAAGTACTCCATTCAGTGCTGTCTAGACCAAAAGCAATTTTTTTTAATGGAAATGTTCTAGTGTGGTAATATTTTCATAAAAAAATTAGTACAAAAACTCACCACCATGGCACTTTTCACATTGCAAACAAGAAAACATTTTCTTTTAAATACTCTCATATGTTTAGTCAAGTTTTTAAGTATAAAAGTGGATACAACTGTTGAATGCAATTGTTATTAGCTACGATGACCATCATCTTGTTGGAATGCCCAAAAGGTCAATTGTAGTTAATTGTGAAGCTGTTTTATGAAAACAATGCTGTAGCTACACTTTGGGAATTTCGTTGTCATAAGAATGTATGCCAAGAATCATGACTTCACAAGCTCTCAGGAGAATATTTATTCAATAGAAAACTGACATTTAGGAGTAATAAGTTTGTGTCCACTATGGTTGAGGACACAAACTTATCACTTTACAAGTCATTGAATAATTAACAAATAATGTTGCAGGCACCAATAGTGTACATGCAATGCCATAGCAGTTGAATTTATTTTATAATACAGTGTAGAAAGTACTGAGAATGTTGGTTCCTTGCTGCCAACATGGAAATCTGACTGACTTTTTCATTGACCTTTCTTTTCAGAATGAAATTGAATGTGTCATGGAGACATGAAAGATCCTGTGGAACAATGAGGCATATTTTTACCTCGGTAAAACAGTGAACACCCATAATTGTTGTATTCAGAGCAGAAAAACACTCACAATTTCCAGTAGATTCCTAAAGTTACAGTTTGATGTGGATTCATAGCCATATTATTCCTTGAATCATTTTTGGAAGAAGCTAATCCTAATGAATTTGACATGCTATATGATAGCAAAGATACCAAGAGATGCTCAAAACTTTTGTTGTACTCCAAATGCAACAGTGGTAATGTCTTGAGACAACCATTTCATGTCTTTATTAAAGTCTGAAATGATGGATGCATCTACATATCAGATGTTGCATACAGCAGTTTCTGAAACAATATTTTGCTGATAACAGCAATTCCTACTGTCTTACTGTGTTTCCTACTGCCTAGCTATCTCATTCTCCAGATCTTAATCTGTGTGAATTTGTAGGATACTTAAAGTATGGACATGTTGCAAATTTGACAGTCTTAAAAGACAGTATCACACTGCAAGTGAGAAGCATCAGAGTGAATCAGTTTTGGATATCATTAAATGCACTGTTCACTGCCGTCATATTTTATACCTTCAGAAAGAAAAGTACAGTAAAGCATTGATTATCCGACCCCTGATTAACCATCACCTTGGTTAACTGACCGTGTTCTAGTCGGCAAATTCAAATGTCCGCTAGTGATGTGGCGTACAATATTTGGCTATGTCTTGGCTACTTTAATATTATTTTTACGTGTTATAGCTGGCAACACTGGCTCGACCATGGAAGGGAGGCCAGTATTTAAACGAGACTTAATTTTCTAATTTTTAACGATACAATAGCGACGATTATTATTTAAAAAAAAAATTTGATAGGCTTAACATGAAGGAAAATTCAACATGAAGTAGGTTAATAGCGATATACTAATATACTAATTACATGGGATGTAATAATATACTACACTAATAATGGATTTTTTCATACTTTTCGGTTATCTGACTTTTCAATTATCCGACCAACCCCAGTCGAGTCGGATAATCGATGTTCTACTGTATTCTCTGCATTACGATCTGTATAGCATAACTGGCCCATGAGTGGCCAAGCAGTTCTATTCCCTGAACACTGGGAATTTGGTCATTGGTTCGCACCTTACCAGGATGGGCTGGCCACATGGAGTTTTCCAGATATTCTCCATATCTGTAATGCCTGAATAGGGACTAGTTTTAGTTACCCTTAGAAAGATCTGGAAGGCATCATCCTGGGAAGATTACCCAAGTGTTGTTGCCGTAACTTAAAAAAAGTAAAAAGATATTGTACAGATAAAATAATTGTTGCAGGACTGCTAAGTATCTCTCTAGACAGTGGTGAGTAAAGATATTTTAATTATGATCTCAGTATTTATATCAAATTTTTGAAGTTTATTAAAATACTAAAATATAGATAAATAAATAAATATATATATATATATAGCATATTAAGCAATATAAAGTAATTAACATTTATTAAACATTATATTTTGCAATACATGTTTATAAAATATTTTAAAAAGCAGAAAAAATAAACTATAGTTAAGAATGTGCATATACTAAAATAAAATCAATACTTACCTTTAGAGCTGTCTGCATTACTACGGCAGTGGCATAACTTAAACCCCTAGAACCAAGTTGAAGCATAGTAGCATAGCCTTGGTCCCGTGCCTTAGCAATGTAGTCATCTATTTCCTAAATTAAATTTTTAATAATTTATAGTTTGTTTTTAATATTACATAGTGTATCTGAACTAATTATTATATGGATCGTTAGGATTAATGGGGTTGTATATATAAAAATAATAAAAAAGGTAAGTCAAAAAAGTGTTTAGAAATATGATGTGTTTTTAAACATTAATTTACAGTTTCTTGTTTTTAGCTAAAATGTTTAATGGAAAAACAAATAAAATTGATTCAGATGCACTGCAATATATAATTCATTTACTTTGAAAAATTAGCAGAAACAGGAATAATTTATTGTATTTTTAGTACTGATATATGAAGTTTGTACTATCTCTTGACAGTGCTTGTTACAAGTACTGTTGGTAAAAATAGTAATTTAATAATAATTATCAACATAATTAACATAATTGACATAATTCAAGGTTATTTCATTCATAATAATTATCTACAGACAGAATTAATTAGGAGTTTACCTTTAATTTTTTGCAAATTATATTAAAACTTATTTTATTTTTCATATTTATTTTTCACATAAATTATTAAAACATAACAAAATATAACTAACCTTCTCACGTCTAGTCAGCTGGGGGTGAACAAATCTTCTATATAAAATGCTGGACCCTTTAGTAGCTGGTGATAGCAACCATAATACAAATAAAATCTTCATTTCATAATAGAAAGGAAGCCTAAAGTTTGAAGGAAACATTTTAATACATATTTAACATATATTAATAATTAGCAATTAGAAATTAAAACTTTAGTATGTTAAATATGGTTTTTAGTTTTTACAATATGTATGAATGAAAAATATTAAGCTAAAGCTATATTATGCTGAATTTTCTCAGTATTTTTTGATTTATTATTAAATTTATTCAACCTTAAAGAAATACTGTCAAACCTCAGTTTATGAACGTAATTTATTCCTAAAAGTTGTTAATAAACCAATTTGCTCTCAAACCAAAACAAATTTGTCCATAAGAAACAATATAAAAAATATATATATTAAAAGCAGAATGTTTCATCACTGTCAACAAAAACTGAAACTAACACTTTACAAAGATATGCTATAAATAGAGACTCCATTCTCCCTGGATGAAATATAGCCAAATCAATTAAGACAGAGGCAACAAGCACTTTATCCACACTTTTAGTAATATTATGTTAAAATTGAAATCAAATCAATTGAAATTACAGCAAAACTAAAACTAAAATTCAAAATTAAAGACCAGAATTTTAATTACTGTATTGCTTTTGGTTTTAATTAACTGGCTACCTAGTATTAATAAATATTAATATTATAATATGTATATAATATTATATAATATTATATTTAATAAACTTTTGCTATTTAATTTAACTTAAGCATATTTAAATATGAATACTTGAATGCCATAAAGATCAAAGGCTGATACTCATTGGTTAATATCCATTCCATAGACTTTAGGAACTTATACAACTATAATTTGTATGATGCCATAGTCATCACTATGACATCATACAAATTATAGCCAAGAGACATGCCAGATGAGCAGGATATATATCCTGCAATGACATGAATCGACATGTACTGTACACAAAGTACTGATGGGGAAACCTCAGGGTAAACAACCTGTTGGATGCCCTCCATTGCAATGAGAATATGGACTAGAGAGGGATCTACAAAGAGTGGGTGTACTGCCTGGGTGGATGCAAGAGGCACAAGACAGAGAAAAATGGAAGGAGGTTGTTGGAATGGTTAAGGGCCCAAGATGCTCAAATAATCATTGAATGCTTGGATGCCATTTATATTATAAATGTCAATTAATGCAGTTTTTATATATTAATTTGCTTTAAATTCAATTACAATGCATGCCATTAAATGGAAATAGTATCTTTCCTGCATGTGCATTGAAATCTCATTTAAATTGCAATGTCATTGATAATTCATGTTGTAACGTCTAATGATGTGAGGTGATCTTGGTGCCACTAACATCTGAATTGGTGATCTATTGTTGATTGGTCAGGCTGCAGACTTTCTTTAACACAGGAAGTATAGGGAGTTGACTATCTATGGACAGCTCTTACCATGTAGCTTGTTTGGCAACTGGGGCAAATATGGCATTCAAAATTTTGTTTGTAAAATAAATTGTTCATAAGCTAAGGCATACATAATCTGAGGTTTGACTGTATTTTTAATCCTAACTTAAATACTAATAAACATACCAAAATGACACAAAAATGTCTGCAAAAGTTTCTATGCAAGTAAAAAGTGCAAATACTATCCAATACATCATCCATTTTACCTGAAAAATAATTTCAATCTTTGAATTACATATTCTATTAAAAAAAAATTATTTGAGAATTTGTTGTTAAAATCAAGCATTTAGAATTTATACAGTCACATAGAATTACTGTTAATTAGATAGAGAATAGTGACACAATGAACATAAACCTTTGTAATAAATATAAAATTAAATTTATCAGATTATTTTAATATATGATTTTGAAAAATTACAAACATAAATTAAGATATGTTATATGATATGAATATTATATACAGTCAATCTCAGTACAGTGATTATCAATATGTTACTGTGAATGAGCAATATCTGGCGAATGTCAACATTCTCTGGTGAATGTCAGCATTCACACAGTTGTTTCATATATGTACAAAATATTTGCTAAATATCATTATTTCTCACTTACACCGGCAAACATCGACATTCAGCATGCACTGATGGTGAATATTGAATAAAAATATTTTTATTAGGCCTACGTTAAGACAAAAATGCAACTTTTTAATATGTCAAAAGGAGAAAGCTTAAATAACAGCACATGTAAATAAACTGTTGAACCTAAAAACAAACAGTACATTCTAAATCAGAAAAGAAAATAATACAATAATAAACTTACACATAAATTATGTGATTAATCTTATACAATCTTATTTATTGAAACAACTTAAACTGTTATGACACTTTGAATTGCACAAGAGTCCCTAGCTTTTACAACTGCATTTATTCATGGAACACTTCTTTTTGTAATGACGGTGTGTATAGCCTTACCCTCCACTATTCGAATTATCTGCAGCTGCTTCTCTCAGCGATATTTCTTGAGAAGAAATCTCATCTATGGAAAGTAACTTTACAAATTACGAACTGATCTGTTAATGGCGTCTTTTATTTGGATATCACCGACGCCATACTGATGGCCTTCTCATCCTCCGCCACTCGACCTGACAAACTGATCCCCACCTCACGGGATCAAAAGAACAAAAATGCCATCCAGTGACAAAGTGGGCAGTTTCCACCAAACCATTGCCAGGAAAAGAGGTATGACTTTGTTCTACCTCCGGCTACCCACAAAGGATTTAGTGACAGACTGTCACCTCTCTGTTGACAACATCGGCTTCTTGGGTGTCATTTCGACCTCCACCAAAGCTTACCTGTGCTTGTTGACACACACCGGCAATTGTTCGAATATATAATAATATAACCAAATATTCGGTATATTACCAATGTATTTTGTATGTGTCAACATTCTCTAACTTTGGTCTTTCACAGTAACAGATATAATGATAACAAATGTAATTTGCTACAGTTTATGAAATCCTATCAGTTTAAAGTAAAACTTCTGATTGAACAATATCCTCTACTGTGATAAATTTCTGTTTAGTGATACATGTTTTTTACTGTACTTGTAATGTAAACAGTATTTTCTTTTCTCCACAATAATGGTGATGCAGTAAATTAAATTTTAATTAATATTAAGTACTGCTCATTTTTGGAAACAAAATGTACTCTCTTAAAACACTGATTCCACCATGAACATTATCTGCAGTAAGGTGGGATTGAGTACATATGAAAGCAAGGTTACTAGATTTAGTTTTTTTTTGGTAATTAGGAACTAAATTTTTTGTTTAGCAATTAAAATGATAATTTTTTGTTTTTCTTTAGCTGAAATGTTAACTTTTGAGCAAAAATGTTTAATAACATTTAACACTAATCAACGAAGGAAACCAGTTCTAACTTTTTCTAGAACAATTTATCTTTTTTTGGGGGGTTTGAATCTATCATTTTAACTTTTGCAAGAAATTATAAATTATAGTAAACCTGTATGTTAGTCAAAACCTGAATCTGATATTATAGGTAAAAGTAATAATATTGTAAGAAAGCCTCTTTTACTTTTAGAATTAGTGTAATTTGCAACACTAAGACACTCCCATATAATTTCTGGGAGAACTTTGTTATGTTAAACTCATTTATCATAAAGTTCTCTTAGAAACTGTATAGGAATGTCTTAATGTTGAATAAATACACCATGCATAAAACCAACACCAGCACTATGAAAAGAAAAGAAAAAAAATCTTACTAAGTGTTGCAAATTACACTTATTAAAATAATTACAAAAAGCATTTGCTTTAAGAAATTATATTTTAAAATTAGTTTAGTTTTACTTAGTTCATTTTTGCCTAGGGAGATTCTGATTGACTGATTTTGTATTTTGATGTTTAACATATACTGTAGAAATAATTTGCAATAAAATCACTTAAATCTTGTACCAGAAGAGACTAATACTACATGTTTCTCTATTCTAACATTGTCTGACTGTGTAGAAATAACTATTTGTAGTCTAACAATGTTAAATGTGGAAGGTGATACTTTCTAAAAAAAAACTCTCACTATAACAATAAATCTCTGTACAATAATAGTTTTTTCTTGTTCTGTAATCACTATAGAAGGATTTGACTATAACTTGAATTATCACTAATAACTAATAATTATTTTTAAAATGTATTTAATTAATTTTGATCAAATAAATTTAGATTTAAAAAGCTTATTGTAAATATTTTATTTATCAGAATTAATAATGATTTTTATGTATTTTTACATTCATAACTTTTCCATAAATTAATTTTTTTAGAAAATACATATTAAAAAGTTTTTGGAATTTTAATATTTAAAATAATTCTAAAATATGACAAGAGTTTTTACATTATTAAAGAAAATAATTTTAAGTATTAATTAATTAATAATAAATAAAATTTATGCAAAAGGTAAGATTATATTTGATCATTTATATAAAAAATATATTTTTGCTTAATTTTTATTTTAAACTTTTTAAATTTAGTTTTTTTTTTATAATATATATATATTGAAAATTTTAAATCAATACGTCATCTTTGTCTTTATATTATATATACTTAAAACTATAATAAACAGAATTAGATTAAATTTCAATTTAAAGATATTTCCTGTTTTTTTGATTTGAAACATCTAATTTTCAAATATATGAAACAATACAATCATATTATAAAAATTTTTATTTGGTGAGTAAAATTATATTCAAGGTTAAACTAAAAAAATTCTAATTTTCAAACATGATAATTTAGTATAACTTAAGCATATTATTTTATGAAATTATATAATCTTTTTAAAAAGATTGGTATAATACAATTTTTAGATGAAAATATTCTAAATAAAAAGCTTAATATAGTAGTGAGGTTGTAGCTGATGTTTTCAACGCGTAAACATGTATGTCGGACATTCAGCGCCTCCATCCTGTAAGCCTAGAAGTTTGACAATGGTGTTTGGAACGTCAAGCATGATTGCACTAACATTCTGAATGCCAATGTCAAACTTCCAGGCTTACAGGAAGGCTAAATGTCCAACGTACACGTTTATGCGTTGAAAATGTGATAGATTCGGCCGCAACCTTGCTATTATTAATTTTCCTCTTATTGATCACTTTTTCCTCATACTATTTATAAAATTTGAACTATTACTACATTTATATGATAATATAAATGTAGTAATAGATTAAATTAGTATAGATATTTTATTAATCAAAATATATAAATGTGTGTTTGTGTGTCCATTCTAGTAATTATGCTTTCTGAGATAATAATTAAATTCGTAACTTAAATGTTACTTCAGAAAGAATAATTGCTAGAATTACCAATGATACATTAAAGAAATAAAATTCATATAATGATTTATATTTATTTATTGTGAATATATAGAAAACATTACTTGTTTTAGATATCAGTTTTAAATATTATTTTATAAAATTTATGTATGTACAGTAAATGTATATACTACAATTTACTCTTTACGAACATTTCCTAGAAATTTTTCAATTACTATTTTGAAAATGTAGGCAGTGACAACAATATACAAGATTGAAGTTTTTTAATACTCATATGATTGAATTGTAAGTTATCAATTACAACTTATCTATTGTTTAATTATCCATTATAAATATTTGTGAAATGATTTTGTCTGAACCATTGATCTAAATAAGTTGAAAGTATTTATTAAATTGACTAAACAGTTTTAGCATTCGTGAATTGTAATTGCCTCAACTAAACATGGCATTAGTTTGGATCTTTATTGTGCTATATTTAGATCTGCAAGAATAGCGAATGTCAGAAAGAACTCCTTAGCTAGAAAACTGCCTAAAAATGAAGTGAAATAAATTTTGTTTGTATCCCATGCACATATATTTACAATTTCAAAAGTCATAAATAAATGGATTATAAATTAAATCAAAATTAGAACTGAGCAGAGCATCTCAGAATTTTCAATTTTTTTTCTTTTCATTAACAAATTACATTTAAAGTTTTTATTTTAGTATGCTTAAGTATATTGTAAAATAATTATAATTAATACAGTTTTATTTTTTGTACTAATGAGTTAATATATTATAATTTATAGATTTGATTATCTTTAAATTATTGATTATATCATAAAAATTATTAAAAGAAATTACATTATTTAATAATGCAATTTCTTTTTATATAAAGTTTCCATAAAAATTTGAGAGATAAGGAAAAATAAACTTGTAGCATTTATAAAATATTTCAAAGAATACAGGCATATCTTGCTAATATGGCAGGTTAGGTTCTGGATCATTACATAAATTAAATATTACTTTAAAATGAATCACATCCTTTTTTCACTTACCAGTGCATATAAAAGCCTAAAAACACATTTATACTGTTATTTATTAGGTATGCAGTAGTATTAGACTTAAGAAAAAAAGGAACATATACAAAAATACTAAATAAGTAAAAAAAAAAAGCCCAAAAACTCCTTAAGGGCAAAGCAAGTGCTGAAAATATTGATAATAAATATGAATATAATTGAGAAGTGCTATATTAGCAGTTCTGTAAAGTGAGATATGCCTGTGATGCATTATCATTTGCAAACTTTTAGATGTACTGTACTGTACATTATATTATTCTCTTGATATCTTTTAAAAACTTATATTGAGTTACTATGAACTTTTTAAATCTTATCATATTTATTTTCTAAACAAATATTCATATAAATTTCAGTTTTTTCAAGTCAGATATGTTTATAGACTAAACTTCTGAGCAAAATAATCTTATGTGTAAACAATGTCCTTTTTATTTAACTCTTTCACTCTCTTGGAACTAAAGGATGTTTTTAGCATATTACAGTTGCTCCATAATTTGGCCATGCTTACAATGAAGATATGATGAGGAACAAACCCAAAAAATTCAAGCTAAACCATCTTGAAAAAATCCCTATGGATCTGACCCAGATTCAAATCTGGCTCTTTCAGAATGGAAGGTTTATGGCCTTAGCCACCTTTCCATCTGCATAAACAGTATCAAATTAGAACAATTATAGACTAGAAAATAAAACACTAAAATAAACATATTATTTACAATTAACAATTAAATAATAAGTATTAATTTTTTTAATAGAATAATAATATTACCAATTAATAACAGCATAAATATTCAATAATTTACAAGAAAACAAACTAATTTTTAACTGCTATTTAATGAGTGCAATTAACAACAAATTCTCTTTAAAGTATACTTAAAATTATGAAAATATTAAATAAATAGATCAAAAATTTTACTTACATATTCTTTCACATTCTTTGTTTTGACTGCTTTATAAGATGCATATGCAGGATACAAAGTGCCAAACACTAATCTGTAACAAGAATAGAAGTATTGGGCCATGAAGGGTATGCAGGCACAGGTAAACAAATTTATCAACACTATGTTACCTGCCGTAACCCGTAAATAATAATCATTTTCCATAGTCCATTATAGTTATTGTAGCATTTAAAAAATACATATACTAAAAATCTAGTAACTAACTAGCACCAAGGATGGAATGCACTACAAGTTTGGTCAGAACGTGCTTTTAGCACCTGCCACCCAATTCTCAATTCCACAAACTGTGAACGACCTTTGACTTCTGTCCACCACACAAACCACGGAGGCACGATCATCATCAAGTGATTCACACAACTGAAAAGTGCATTCAGTATATATCATTCCATATTTATCTCACGATGTACTAAAAGACAAGTTATTTCAAACAAAAACGATGCCTTTCTTCACCAAACAAAAGTCTCGATTCCAGCTGATTCCATCTGCAGTGCACGGATCAATATATTCTACCGTGCTGCAGACCTTTCCATCTCCATACAAGCGATGCCAGACGGTTTTCCTTTTTTTACTTGCAATACATTTCTTCTCGGAAAGTGTGTATAAATAAACAAAAAGGATGCCAAATTTTCAAGTCTGTTTATCTTCAATCTTTAAGAAAACATTCGCATTTGTTATTGTCGTCTAAGATGGCCGGCAAACGATTACGAGTACGGGATGCGACGGAAGAGATATATTGCGCAGGTCGCGCTATAGTTTCGAATCGAGTGAGGGTGGACAAAAGGACCTTACTTACTTGAATATCCAGAACAGAGACATGAAGAAGATCCGGGTCGATTTTCTTTTAAAAATTTACACAGAGGGCACGTGCGAGCGCCTTTTATTCTCACTTTATTTTGGGCGCATACCTCATCATTACTGTGCAGTGCCAAAATTCTCTTTCTTTCTCTTTTTTCCCCCCATATCATTTAGCAAACAAAAGATCCCTTGTTTTTTTCTCTTAACAATTACACTGCAACTGCTAAATTTGTGTGAAAACCGTTAATTTCTAGGAAGAGTAATTCAGAGAGTAACTTGATATGCAGCATAGAACAACTTCTCCAGAGTAAACTATCCAAAAATACATTTGTAACTGCCATTTGGCGAGCGATGCAGTTCATCGCCTTCGTAATAGTTTCTAAATCTCATTATCTGTTCGCAAAAAAATTCGAAAGATATGCAGAACTATATTCTATGGCGTAACTACATATAAAACATCCTCGTATTTATACTTTTACATTAGTCATCAGATGATGAAGCCGAAAATAAATTTCACCTTCAACTCGACCACGTGTCCTACTTTTCTACTTGGAACAAATTTACATGATGAATTTTAAAAGTATATTTTAACATTTGAAATGCATCAGGCAACTTATAAAAGAGATGGTCGATACTCAGATATTTTTCTTAGATATTATTAGTTTTCTATGTTTCTACTTTTATAACAATCCAATCTTTATTATGTCACATTTATCATCGCATTAGCTCCGCATACCTCAATTACAGAGCGGATTTTCTAATTGACAATAATATTCGATCGACCCTGCTGAAGTTACAATATACTAGTTTAGAAACTGTCGCCATCTGGCGCCGAAAACAAAAAGTACAAACGGCCTTTACATCTTGTTTTTGTTATTCCTTTTGAATTCATCAGCAGAGCGTGCTCTGATTGCTTTGATTATTAGTAACACACTCATGCATATTTAAAAATATATATATGCATTTCAGAGTGAATTAAATATAGAATCAATATATCTGAAACTTCGATATTGTAAAATAAACAGAGTAAATATCTTATGCGTGAAAATTCAAAAACCGATTTTGCGTATTTTTTTTTATCAAATCCATTCTGGAACAAACTTAGTGCTTTTTACACCTGGCTACTAGCCAAAATATGTGGTTATCTGTGCGGAAAATTGTAACGGTAGGTGGTGGTGGAGCGAAGAAAAAAAATCTTTCACAATGGATATAATAGCACAATATACATGTTCACTTGTGATACGACATAGCGCATGCACTATCTATTCAAAATTTCAAATTTTTTATGCTTAAAAAATTCTCTAAGGGAATTTTACAACTTTTTTTAATCCTTGGTTTTAATTGTTTCAGAATTAAACCACTAATTTAGGTTGAATAATAATAATAATAATATAAAAAGTAATAAACNAATTTAAATTATAAATGATTTTATATAAGTATTGTGATAATATCGAACTATTTTAATTTTATTAATTAAGGTAAAAATTTCGAATCAATTAAACGAGCTTTTAGGTAATAATTCTCTTTACTCCTCATTTTTCAGTAAATAAATGCAGATCGCTTATAAATAAATTGATTTTTGTTGTCGTTTTCTAACGTTTTCTCTCTCTATAATAACATAATCAATATGATGAATAGTCTTCACCTGTAAGAATTTAAGTAAACTTCTAAATTCTGTTTACGAAGCGATAATTTCGAAATATATTCTCTTCAATTTTAAAGTATTAAAAGGAGTATTTATTGAAGTTGATATAATATACTATACGAGGGATTTATTTATATTCTTTATAAAGTTATATTATGGCTCAATAGATTCACCTGAGCTAAACTATTATGTCTACTGCCTGTTATTTCTCTGTATCAGGATAATTTGTCGGCATTTCTTGCGGTTAATTTCCGTTTCCTTCCATTATTATCTAATTGTTTATTATAGTTTCTTCTGCTAAATTATAGTATTTAACTTTTATGATTCTTTATTCCTGATACTTGCCTTTTTTTATTTCGTGCTTTAGTGCTATTTTATATATATATATATATAAATTAAATTAAATGAGGATGTTTGTTCACTATATACTCTTAGACCATTCGACCAATTGCTACAAAACTCAGCAGTCACATCTACATTCTAACTTAGATAATGTTGTACATACCATCCCAAAACATCTATTGGATTTCTGTAAATCAATTAATTTTTATCTGCATTTGATTTGCTGATTCATACATAGCTCTATCTATTGGTAAAAAATTTAACAAAGTAATAAATTAAATATAATTCTTATAAAAAAGGATATAATTTTAAAAAATATATATTATATTCACTTAATTACTGTGACAAAGATATAGTGCAAAATAGATGCACTATATCATTGTTGCAGTCAAGTGAATATCATTGTGCTATCTGTATCAAGATGTTTATGAGAAAGTATAGTGAATTACAGAAACATTTATTTAAATGATAAGGTTGTATTTGCAACAGTCTTTCCTCCTTGAGAAAAATTAGGTTAACAAAATTAGTCCTAATAATAATATCTTCAAATTTGCAACTTAAAAATAAACAAATGATCCATTTTTAAAAGATTTTCCGAGATAAAAAAATATCTAAGAATTTCTATATCAAATTTAAAGAAAATATAAACAAATTTATTAATTTGGAGTTACCTGAAGTTATTTGTATGTAGATAGAATAGTTAAAACTATAAACAACTTTTTTCTTTGGTTTTTTTTAATATTAAAGCTATATAGGTCAGGTCAGAATACCAGTTTTGAATCTTTGTGAATGTGTGTAATTTTTTATTATTGCATAATATCTCTCAGTGATTATAACATTAAATTTCCAAAAATTTTTATTTCTATTATTTAATCTGTTGAAAAATATATATGTAATAAGAAAAATGTTTACAATATAAATAAAAATATACAGTATATTGTAATTTAATGTTTTTCAATCATTATATACAGGCGGTCCTCTACTTTTGTACCTAATTGGTTCCTGAAATATGTACAAAAGTAGAACAATGTAATAAAAAATCATCAGAAAGGTTTGTAAAAATTAAAACAATGGAATCGGTATATTTCTTCAAGGTAAAAAGGTTGTATATTTAAAAAGTTTTTAACTTTTCTTTTTTAAATATACAGCATTTCTACCTTAAACATCAAAAAGGGTTTTCAAAGTATTTATTTTTTATTGATTAGTATCTGATATTTTCTTTATAAATTTGTCAAGAGATAATTGGATTATACTCTTCTTTTTTTGAAAAAGAGTTCTGTAACATGCTGTGTCTTTTTCTATTGGCCTTTGTACATGAGATATATGCTCTCCATTGGGATCAAATTCTTCTATGATGGTCAAAAATTTGTCAAGATGTATGAAGACTAACTCAAGATATCCCTGCTCAAGACTGAACCTGTGATGCCAAAAATGGAAATGATTAATGTTGGAGAGGTGGGGAGAAACTAATGACTAATAGTTCATGAGAAGCAGAGAATCATTCCATTAAAGTATGCGTGCTTTTCCATATATATCGATAAAAATCGAAAGTACAAAATAGCGAATTGTACGAATGTAGAGAACTGCTTTATATGATCTCATTTAAGAAATACATTAAATATGAATTTATTTCACTGTACTAATTTCTTAAATACTTAAATTTATTCTAAAATAAGCTTTGTTCAAAGAAATGCATAAAAACTACTAAAAAATATATATATATTAATGCAAAATTCAGTAAATTTAACATTTATCAATTTTCAAAGAAAATTTAACATTTATCAGCAAAAATACTACTATTTTACTTATTTGGAAAGCTATGAATCAGAATTTTCATTCCATGAACATTACATTATTTTTTTAAACATGAAAAAGAATGAATGACTCACAATTTGACTTATTTAACCATTATGTATATCATTGATCTATATTTTCTTCTAGCAAAAAATTTTATAATTTAACAGTTAAGACAAAAATGTTGCATCATCTACAAATTCTTGTAATTTTTACTTATAGTAGCAAATTTCTTTTACATATGACTAAAATAAATAATTAAAATAATAAGTAAGCATTTTCAGTAATCTGGGTGCTTTATAAACAGTAAAAATTTTTAATTGACATTTTCTGTTTTAAATCATTATTTATATATTAAATGTGAAATCTTGATTCTAGTATANTAATATTATAGTAATTTACATTTTTTTTTTCTTTCTAAGAATTTCTAAAAAGTAAATCGATATAAAAAGAAACCATAAATTTGGGGAATGATCTACTTGTCATTTTTCTTTTTACATCGACTAATAAAAAAAAAAATTTGAAGCGTTAGGAGAACAATAAACTTCTAAACTGTTCACTCCATCTCTCACCATCTCGTCTCTACTTAAATAGATTATAATGGTGTGTTTGATAAATAACACCTTTCTCCATTTGTCATAGACACAAAATTTTCATTAATATCGAACTATCGGCAGCATGCTCTTAAATTCGAGGTGGTGTGAACGAATTTGTAAAGGTTCACCTCCATTTTTTTTAAGTGTGTTCTCTGCCATATATAAGATGTTAGTCATTTTTGGATCAATCTCATGTGAGAAGAACCTTGAGACTGCGAAGCTTCTCCTGCACTTTAGCGTGTTGCTTGTGGCGTTTGCTTGACAAGCTAATGTACACATGCTGACAAGCCATGCAACAGTGTCCCACAACTTGTTCTGACAGCCCGCTAGCTTTTTGTCTTTCTGAGCTAGACAGGAAGAGGGACGTGGACGATTATATCGTTTGATTGGATAAGAGTAATCACGTCAGTTTTCTTTCTAACCGAGTACTTTTTTTCGTGGAAAATATACTTTACTCTAAAATAATATTCTCTTAAAGATGTAACCATTCCTCTTACGTTTTCATTCTTGATAGTGGACTAATGAGAATAGAATGCTTTATTTACTGTTTCAGTAAGAGTTGATAATGTTAAAAAAGCAAATAAAAAGTTTTTATTTGATGTTTAAAGTAAAAAATCGCATCATTGAAAGATAAATTGTACGGCTTAAATTGCGTTAAAAGTCAAAACATATAGGCTATATTAAACGAAACCATCCGGAAATTTTAAATTTAGATCGAAACGTCTTATAGCGATTTGATTTATAAAGAAATCGCCCTTCGAAAATGATATAAAATTAAATTATTTTGATTATATACGAAGATTATTGGATAGAAATTAAAATAATGAGAAGGTATGGCATCTCGTACTATAATTAAAATGACTTTAATTAATGGTCTATTGATGCCACACTTCCTTAAATATAAAAAGAATTGTTTTATTCTTTAGTTAGATACTTTTTTTTTTAAATTTAATGTGAATATAGATAAATTTGTTAGAAGGAAAGGAAATTCAAAATGTCAGAAGGAAATTAAAATGGCGCAAAACAGCACACCTGGGCATTTCCTGTCAAATGATGAGAATGGTTGGAGTTTGTT